CTATATATCTAAATATATTTTTATTGTACATGTTACAAAAAATTCAAAAAAAATAAATAGGATATTAAAAAAATACACATTCTATGACGAGTGTGGTCACATCTAACATAGAATGTACACTTTTTTATGTCGCTTGTAGTTACATCATCATAGAATAAAGATGTCAATGTGATTAATCATATATAAGTTTGTATTGAACTAGACAACAATATGCTTTATTGAACTATCTAAATGTATTTTTATTGTACATGTTGGAAATTTTTTAAAAATAAGTAGGATATTAAAAAAATACACGTTCTATGACGAGTGTGGTCACACCCAACATAAAATGTGCACATCTTATGTCGCTTATAGTCACATCATCATAAAATATGGATGTCAATGTGATTAATATATATTTGGTATTCATACTATAATGGACGCTGACCACTTAACATAGAGAGTTAATTTTTTATGTCGTATGTTGACTTGTCATAAAATTATGGACATTGTATGTCGTCGGGATCTATGTTATATCACAAGCCAACATAGAATATAAAAAATAATTAACATAAAATGTCCCCTAAACAATAATGTCAATTACTCAAAGAGTATACTCTAATAAAAATATATTTATCTATTATATATTATTTAATAATTTTTATAAAATTTAAATTTTAAGCATATATATTTTATAAATTGAGCATATTTCAATTTTAATCCTTATAAAAAAAATTAGGTTTATGTCCTCAAAATATAAAATTGTTATTTTTTATATCTATTGTCATGTATTGGGAAAAACCCAAGTCCCACATCGACTAGAGATTAGGCAATTAAATAGTATATAAGTGGAGAGCAACCCTCACCTTACAAGCCGGTTTTGTAGGGTTGAGTTAGGCTTAATCCACTATTCTAAGATGGTATCAGAGCTATCCTAGATTCTTAAAAATGGGCCACCCACCATTCATTGATACATGCACCATGGGCATGAGGGGTGTATTCAAGTCCCGTCACTTTAAAAATGGGCCACCCACTATTCATTGATACATGCACCATGGGCATGAGGGGGTGTATTTCAAGTCCCGTCAATTAGAAAAGGGCCACCTACCATTCATTGCTACATGCACCATGGACATGAGGGGGTGTATTCAAGTCCCGCCAATCCTAGATCATTAAAAAGGGCCACCTACCATTTATCCACGTACCAAGCCCAATAGTGCTGGACGTGAGGGGGGTGTATTGGGAAAAACCCAAGTCCCACATCGACTAGAGATTAGGCAATTAAATAGTATATAAGTGGAGAGCAACCCTCACCTTACAAGCCGGTTTTGTAGGGTTGAGTTAGGCTTAATCCACTATTCTAAGATCATGTAAGCAACTTTTTTTCTTGTGAAACTTACCAATGTTTACAGTACTACATTAAAATGTAACACCTTTAAAAGAGAATACCATTTATTTATTTGCTTCAAAATGAAGGTTAAGGAGTAGAAATAGTTATTTTCATACTTTGAAAGCATGAAACTCAAAGAAATGTTTCTTATAAGAGTCAAATGCATGCTACCATTACAAGAAAATGCTTTTTATTTTTTTAATGGATATTTACCCACGAATTTAAATATATCTGTAACTCAAAATTATCAACGATAAATCTGTTAGTAAAATATATATAGTGATTAATAATTGTGAAAGACTATTATAGGAATTGTTTTGAAAGTAATTAGCCTAAAAATAGTTTTGTAAGTAAAAAAAAAAAAAAAAATCATTGGTAACCTTGTAATATTTGTCGACATTTATAAATGAACAATTTTTTTTTGAAAAATGTATATTAAATTATCCACATATTTGTTTCGTTGATAATAAATTCCACAATCAACAATAATAATAAAAAACCATAAATAATAAAGTGCCAAAATTTTGTCCTAAATTATTTTGCATAGTTTACTCACTTTTTCGTTCTTCCTCTTATTGAATCTAATTTTATGCATTTTTCACGTAAGGTTTGTTTAGATATAAGATAAAAGTTCTTTTAAAAAAAATTATTAAAAAAAAACTAATTTCAATATAAAAATGCTTTAAACTATACACTTTTATCCAGAACATACTCATATGATTCTTCCACTCTCTCCATTGCTCTTATTTTTCTGTTTAGTCTATATTTGCAAGTCCTTATTCTTTACGCAACTCGCCTTCTTTCTTGCTTCTAGTTGGGTTAGGATAGAGTCAACATGAATCATGTCTTTGTCCAATCAACTTGCTCGACAAAGAAAAATGACTACAATTTTTAACGACAGATTTTTGTCCCTCCATATTCCATCGGTATAAAATTGTATTATTGATAGATTTTTGTGCGTCACATAATTAAAAAATAATGGTGTAAAATTGTAGAATATTTCTGACAGACTAAAATCACTAGAGTTTTCTGGCGATATATTGCTAAACCGCCAAATATTTGAAAATTAAGATATTTGCATCAGCACCGTTATTATTTAAGGCAATTTTCAATAGCAAAGTTCCTCCCCTGTTCCTTCTCTCTTTTCTTCTGCTTTAAATTTTGTTTTTTTTCTTCCCTTCTTTCTCTCTCCATAGAAATCAATCAAATTTTTTACTGGAATAAAATTTTAAAAAAAAAAAACCCCAAATAACATTTGTACCAATTTATTTACCCAAGTAGCATTATTTAATGTTCACGTTCAGAATTCGGTTCTCGGGAAATCAAATTCTGAACATCGTTTTATATATCTTTTTTTTTGCATTTTAGGTTTAGGTCATGTGTTAATTTTGCATCTAGAATGGCCCGTTCTGCATTTAGAACGGCCCATTCTAGTTTTGAAACGGCACGTTCGGGCTTGTGACACGGGACCCAAGGCTAATGAGTTTTAATAAATTTAATTAATTATATTTATAATATTAATAAATAATAAATTTAATTAGTTATATTTATAATAAATATTATATTTAATAAATTATATTTATAATGAATTTTTTTTGTTAAATTGAAATTCAATAAATAATAATTATAATAAGTTATATAATAATGTATAATTATAATAGTTTATAAATTTAATAATACACCATATTAATAAAAACAACAATTTTAATACTTCATTATAATTAAAAAGTTTATTTTTCACGTATACTAAATTTTAATTATCAATAAATTGTCCACATATTAAAGTTTATAATTTATAAAAAAAACATAATATACGTAATTAATTTCATTATTCATTATACAGCACATGAACCAGCGTGCATGCAGCACATGAACCAGTGTGAAGAGACGAGACATGTACACAATACGTTAATGTCCTTGACGTTTAATGTTCAAAAAATTTTCTAACGTCAATGGTGCTAACGACTTGTGTTGCACCTTGTCCTCGTCAACTTTGTTGATGTTTTCTTTTCATTTCTTCTCTATTACGTGTCCAAAATAATTTATTTTGATAATTAGTTTTCTAAAAAATTTATTTTAATAATTTTTATTTATTTTTTATTTATTATGGCCAAAAAGCCGAATTATATAAGCTTTTTAATCTCTGTAATGGTGTCTAGTTTCACAACGAGGGCGACGTCTGTTACGGCCTGGATTACGTCGTGGAGGTTGTTGCTAAGAAGGATTTGGTTCATCAAAGCACTGGTCGTTGAAATGCTACTAAAGAACTACCAGGTTCGTTAGTGAATTCCGGTTGGTAAAGAGATTGCATGTATGACTGTGTTGAAGATAGAGTTCTAAAATTTATTCCAAATAAATTATTAAATATAACTAATTAAATTTATTATTTATTAACATTATAAATATAACTAATTAAATTTATTAAAACTCATTAGTCCTAGGCCCACGCGTCAGTAACCCAGAACGGGCCGTTCTAAAACTAGAACGGTCCGTTCCAAACTACTAAAAATGCCTAAAACCCTAGTTTGGAACGGGTCGTTCCAACATTCAGGTTATGAGTTAAAACTCAACTCTAGAACGACTCGTTCTCTCTTAAGAACGGGTCGTTCCAGGTGCAGAACAAGTTGTTCCAGATGTAAAATTAACACATGGCCAAAGCCAAAAAGAAATATATATATATATATATATTATAACGTTGCTCAGAATTCGGTTTCCCGGAAATCGAATTCTGATCGTGAATAGTAAACAGTACTGGTAAATAAATTAGTACAGGTGTTATTTGGGTATTTTTTTTATAAAAAAAAATATTCCAATAATAAATTCAAATCAATCACCACAAAGAATAACAGTGTATTTAGATTAGAGTTCAATTCTAATAAACGTAAGTTTAATTTAAAAGCAATTTTTTCTTTATTTCTGCTTTTTTTGGAAAATGCAAAATATTACTTATGTTATATTAAACGTGTTTTCAAAGATTCACTTAAGTCTTTTAGTTGCAACAAAATACTGCGGTATAAGACAAAAAAAAAATAAGAAGTATGACTTTGTAATCCTATCCTAAATAACATTTGTTTTCGTCATCTATAATTCGCTATATATACAATTTTGTTTTTATCACGATTGAAATGTCATAAAAAAATATTTAAAATAACAATAAAAATATTTATTAACATTTATAATATAAAAATTATATGTATTAATATTATTTTTGAAAGTATATGTATTAATATTATAATCTTCAAAAGAATGTAAAATAACACTAATAATGAATATAAAATTACTATAAAAAATAAATAATAGTAAAATAATATTAAAATGTTAAAAAAAATCATTAATATAGTTATAGGAACATAAGATTATAAGAATGAAACTAAACATAAATACATAATAAATAAAAGTCATACAGAATTTGTTACTATATTATGAAATAAACATTATAAAAATTGAGATATTTTTATCTATATATCAGCACATGAGCTTGCTAAAAATTATGAAAAATTTAAGGTTCAATGATGCTAGGATAGAGTCTTGTTTGGCCAAAAGTTCAACGGTATAAGAAGTCTCATGCCAGAAAAAACAAGCCGCTGACGAACAAGGACAAGAAAATGAAGCGCTCCAGACACCAACAACGTTGAAAACTTAAAAACTAATTTTCTTTTTATGTTTTAAAATAAATAACTTTTTTCTGCTACAAAAAGCACCTTAGAAAACCATCTCATTGCTATGCAGTATGCACCTTGATCATTTTCATCATACTTTCCGGTGTACGAAAGCATCACAATTGTTCTTTCCTGTTTTGGTATGTACACAGAGCACCAATTAATTAAGTGCCTCATGTTCCCTAAAAAGGTACAAAGACTCAGATGGATCAAATTTCAGTAGAGGACAAAGGGGTGGTATCAGATGGGATATAGAATGATCAATGATGAACAAATGGTCCACAGAAACATTTGACCGCAGCAACAGATCAGGAAGATGTTGGGTGACACGACAACCTTAGTACTCCACAATCTTAGGCCCGCTGTACATCTTTACAAGTACTCGAAATTTCTCGGGTTTCTCCTTCTCTTGAAGCCATTCATATGATGTTCTTTCCTCCTCTGCCATGGATATTTCATCTGCTCAAATTTTCAAGGTAAAGAGAAATCAGTCAAAATACTACATTTATTGGTCATATATGTCCTGAGTATGTTTGGATTTTCGTCCATTAACTTCATCCACCTGAAAAACTCACGTCCAACCCACAAAAACGACTCTTATTAGCTTCTATGTGATGTGAATCGAACTCAACTTGATGGAGAATCAAGCATGCGCTGTATAGCCTTAGAAACCAACTTGTGATGACTATTGAAAAATGTTTATTTAAATCAAGAATACCCCAAGTGATAGTTTAAGTCGATTTTTTTTTAAACAGAGAAATTACTAAAGTGAATTCTGTCTTCCCAACAAAACAGTTTAAAAGGTTTATTATAGGAAGATCTTCACGTTTTGATTCACTAAAATAAAAAAGGTATACATTTCCTTCAAAAATTAAGATAACTAAAAGGATGCAACATATAGAGCTATAACAGCTTGCAAAACTTCATGGACAATAGTATAAAATTTTGAAACTATTAAGTAGATATTAAAATGAGTGCATCAGAGGTATTCCAAAACTCAGTAAACCATCGACCCAAAACTTTATGCTGAGTTGTCAGAAAAGATACGAGTGTTGTTTTAAGGACACTACTTAGTAATATTTGTCAAAAGATATCAAGAAAGATTCCTGAAAAGTTAGAGAAAGGGTAGCCATAAGGACACTTTGGCATTGATCAAAAGATATGAAGATACCTGAAGAGTTGGAGAAAGGGAAATTATGGTAGTATGTGCAGTCCCTGCCATCAGGATCAGAGTATGGAGGACCAAGCACATCTAGAACTGCACAAGCTGTCACTGCCGTGAAGCAATGCAAGTTTCCACCATCAGCAGGATAAAGGATGGAGGGGTCACAAGGACCATCGAAATCAGCATCAACCTTAACTTTTGCCAACCTCATATCAGGAGTCTTTGCTGCATAGTCAAAATATGCAAATTAATTATTCTTGTAAATTTATTTACATATAGAAAGAATCAACTTGAAATTAGATACAGCAAATATCACATGGTCATTTGATCACATGCATGATGCATCTTCACTAAAACAAGATCTTAAACCATGAACATATCACTATTGTTAGATGACATAAAAATGAAACCAAGTTTTGATACCATCTTAAAAGTAGGTTTAATCTAACTCAACTTTATAAACCAAACTTTTAAGGTAAATATTACTCTTCATTAATATACATTATTTTGGCGATACTGCTAGTTAATGCAGAATCTCCAACAGTCAAAAGGATTTTTAACTAATCAAAGTTGTCTAATATTTGAAAATTCTCAAGGGTTTCACTCAATTATAGAGCTACACAAAAGAATGGTTGGTTTATTCATATTTGTTTAACAATGGTATTTTATTCCGCATTTCCTTAAACATAAAGCATGTTCCACATGTAAATGGGAGTGAACAAAGCTTCTCTAGTAAAAAAATATACATATACATCACTAGGTGACTAAACAATTTAATAAAGGAAAAAACATGAGAGAGACAAGGAAGGAAACAACTTCATTTTCTATTATATGTACTTTGTTATTAATTTAATCTAGTGATATGTCTTGGTACTCGGCTACCAATATGAAACTGAAAAACGGGAAACCTCTGAGAATTTCAAAATATTTTATTCAACTTTTTATAAGGGTCTCATTGTACGAAATCACATAAATAAGACATAGTGAATTCAAAAGATATGTATAAAAAATAAGACTCACTTTCTGATGGTTTCACAATGGTTGACATATGAGGAGGCGAGTCAACGACCCAATCATAAGATTTGATGTGCATGGTTCCAAAAAGAAGCTTACTAAAAACCGTCATTCCAGGGTGATTGTGAAGAGGAATAACTCCAGAAGGTGGCAAGCAAAATATTCCCATCTGCGATACATAAAAAATAATAATAATTATAAAAAAAAAAAAAAAAAAACTACACTCTTACACACCAACATGACAGCACTGCTAGGTTCTAGGTCCTTAATTGGGTTAGTATCCACGAGAACTTGAGGTTCAACTTTGTTGACATCAATAGAGAAAGATAAAAAGAAAAAAAATTGAAGTCATAGCTTAATTAATTACCGAGAATTGTTGACACTCATAAATGTGCAGGTATGTAATTTTTGGGATTTTTCGAGGATTGTTTGTAGTGAAATATGGCATGTCAGGTTTCAAGCCAACGTCTTCTTGTTTTATTCCACCTGCAAAAAGACAAGTCATTAGTTAAATATGCTTATCATAACGTATAAAATTAAGGAAAAGAAACGAAAAGTGGAATTAACTCTTGATAAATTAAACCAAGTTAAAAAATTAAAAGCGTGTTGGACTAGGAATGATAAAAGAAAATTAGACAATGTATAAAAATATGAATAACAGAAAACTAAGCACAAAAAAAAAATATATATTCTGAATTTTCTATTTGAAAAACTGAAGAAGAAATATCATTCTTAAAACAATATTAAAATCCTTTTATTATATAATTTTTAATATCAAAAATGGAAAATAATTTTCAAAAATAAGAAACAAAACATCCTTAATTAATTGATTTGGAAGAAAATAAGATCATCAAAGGCCCTTGAGAAAAATAAAAAGATAAAAGCCTATGAAAATTACTATATCTCTATCGAAGAAAATGACTAAAATACTTAATGTTCAGATGTTTATAATACTGTAGTAAAAGACAAAATAATTATTTTTATAATGATATGTCCTTAATATTTTTTTTTTCAAAACTAATTTAGGTAATTACTAAAAGATAAAGCCGAGTAGCTGTATCCAATTTCATATAGTGCCGCGTTATTTTTGACAGCTATGGTCTTAACTCTCACTAAATAACGTGTTTATCGTCAATGGCCTTAAGGTTCACCACGATTAACCTAAATGTGTTAATTAAAATATAATATATTATAACATATTTTAATAATATAATTATCTCTCATCTCTAGTATAATTTATAATTAAAAATCATTTATTAATTTCTTAATCATTACTACCTTTTTTCATTAGTTTGCTCGTTAATAAAACCCCAAAAAATCTCATTAGAAACTTGAAAACTTGATAATATCTACAATGATTGATTGTTTCCTGGCTAGTGACTAATAATAGGGAGTTCAAACCTTTACGTAAAGCACCTACATATGGCCCATGATCACGAAAAGACCTCTTACTTAGGGGCATAATACATCCAAATTAAGTTGACCAATGACGATTCGACACGATGATAGGAGAGAGAAGCACGTGTGCTTCACTTAACAAGACAGCACTTGGTTGAAAATGATTAAATTGAGAAAGCTATATATTCATGGTCTCCTTCGTATTATAATTTAGAAAGTGGACTTAAAAGACTTGACATCATATATAGTATAAGTAAGCAAAAAATGGTAATGTAAATTACTAGCATATATATCTCTTATAAGGGAACATCAAGCACAACAAGATAATGGGCACTTGCATCGATACTCGAATGCATATCAGACACAGGCACATCACAATTCACAACCTAGGGAAGATGGACACATACATAAATAGCATACAAAAGAACACACCCCCACCACCCAAAACCAATCTAAACAACATTTGTCTAGATCAGGATAAAACTTGGAGTTGATACAAACAATTAGATTATTAAAAAAACGTAATTAAGGTTAAATTTTTTTAATACAAATAGTAAATGTTTTTAATTAATAAAAATAAATATCAAATAATTTATATTTTGATAGCATCAAACTTATTTTATTTTTTATATTAAAATAAGTGCATTAAACAATTCATTAGTTCTCTAGGGGGAAAAAAACCTTTATCATTCTTCATTCAATAATTGAAATGGGAGATAAAAACAAATTGGTATCTGGCTTGATCTTCCCAGAATACAAAGTCCGATCCTATGAGAAAACAACATGATCAATCATCCCTATAAAAATTAAAATAAAAATTCAATCAAATTCGCATATAGATCACTGGAACTGAACTGACTCTCCAAAGGGTTAAAAATAAAATAAAAATAAAAGCTTCAGTTTTAATCCAATTTTTTGAATCAGAAGGATACCCAGTTGAAAAAAAATGTTACATGTAATTGCTTAGATGCTTTTATGTTATTCTTCAATCAATTTTGTTTTTCATAAGTAGGATCAAAATTGAAATTTTACTTCATTAAATTGCAGCCATTTGTAATACAAACCGCACAGAAAATTTAGACATGCGAATTCTACTAATTTTAAAAAATATGCACACAATTAAAAAAAATGTGTAAAATGTAGAACTTGCAAGTGTTATGGTAGGAAGCCACATACCTAAGACAGAGCGAAGCATATCAATGTGTTGAGGAGAAGGGACGTGCCAAGGGCGAGAAGAAGCAAACACTTCTTTACACGTCTGAAACAGTTTCTGCCCCGCCGACATCTTCCTCTGACGTTGTTTCCGGTTCTTCCTCGATTTGTTGTTGTTGTTGTTGTTCGTGTTTGTGTCTTCACGCAATTCACGCAACTCTCTCCCTTTACTTTCAGACGAGTTCCTCCCAATCCCCATTTTAACCCCACCCGAATGCAGGACACGCACCCCCCAGAACAAAAAAGGAGAACTTTGGTAGAAAAATGAGTATGATCTCAGAACTACTGACACGTTCGAGGACAGAATGGGATTATGGGAAATGGGTACGGAAGAAAACTGTGAAAAAATGCAGAGGAACAAAAACCTCTGAATCCTGAAGAAGTAGAACAGAGGAAACAGAGGAAAACAGGGGAGGGTGTGTAAGAGGGGTGAGATTCTGAGAGGGTTTAAGGGGAGAGTGTAGAGAAATGAAAAGGGGGCATTGGAGGGAAGGAGAAGAGAAATAGCAGAAGCACAGAATGGAAAATGATATTTAATATTGCATGTTTGATATGGAAGAAGCAGAGGAAGAGGAATGAATGAGAAGTGAAAGTGAAATAGGGAGAGAGAAAGAGAGAGTGGTTTGGAAAGAAAGTAAAACTGAAAACCAGGGGCCAGTCAAGTATTCATTCCAGTGGGCTGTTCAAACAGCTGATTTCTTCTATGAATATATCCTATTGTGCACTTCATCTATTGTTATTACTTTTTTACTTTTCTTTATCACTCATTTATCCATTTTCCATTTATCATGCTGCAATATTAAACTGTAGGATTCAAGATTTGTTTTTATTTCAATTTATAAATATACAAAAATATAAATTTAGCTTTGATGTATTATTAGTAACAAAATTCATTAGTTAATTAAAAATATCTTAATTCTTATATATAATGATAACATGATTCTTTTAAAAACCAATGATACTATACCATTGACAATTTACATTTTTTTTTTGTCATGACAATTTACGTTTGACGAAATAATAATATAATAATGTTGTTTAAATGTGCATTGAATACGGTACTAATTTATTGCAATTAAATTCTTTTGCTTATTTCACATACGATAATAATAAATGTGTGTTCAATGTAAAATAAGTTATGCTTGAAATACGTATCGTGGTTTTCATTTTAAAAATCCTTTTCCTAAACCGTATATGAAGTATCATTGACTTTTATAAAGAGAAAATCTAGTTGGAGATGTTTAGTGAAATCTTTTTTTTAATTGTATTTTTTCATACATAAAATTTAAATTTGTTTCGTAAAAATTTAAATGAAACCTTTATTCTTAATTATATTTTTTTATACACAACTACTTATTAGTAAGGATGGAAATAGGTTTAAATAAACCAGATTTCAAAATATGGGTCAAATATATTTTGTAAAATTAAAGTTTAAGTCTAACTTATTTTATATTATAAACATTTTTATATATTTGATGTAATCTTTTCAAAAGTTTGATTTGATATAGTCTATTAGTTTATTTAAAAGTTTATTTTATGATAATAACATTAAATAAATTAATAAATTTAATTTTAAATAAGTCAGTAAATCTATTTTTAAATGTGTGTGCAAATCTTTTATATTTTGCGTGATAAAAAATATTTTACTGTGCATTGAAAAAAGATAAATTTATCAAAATAATTTTTTTTTTAAATATTTCATATATCTCATTTGAAATATTCTAAATAATCAACCATAAAGATAAAGAAAAAGAGTAGGTAAAGATATAGTTTGTGATACCCTTTATCTCGTATATCATAACACATAAAAATATAAAAATTAAAAAAACTCAATATGATAAATAACTCAAAATCCTAACAAGTAAAGAGAATCGCATTATATCTTAAACAAACAACATGACTGAAAGAATTACAAATAAATTAAAAATTGATGTTTTCAAAATGAACCAACAAAACATCCTAAATCCTAATTATGTTCGATGTCACATGTTCTATCAGAACAACCCAACATAAAACTTAAGTCTCATCACCAACATCTTCAGTATCATGTTGATCATCACCTGCAAAATCAACATTGTTGGTCAAAAGTTGCGGTGCCAACTTTCCAACTTTCGATTGTGTTTTAGAAAGACTAATATTTTATTTTGTCATCACTTTCGCATTAGACTACGATTTATGAAATATGAATGTGAACTCTCTATCTATGTGTTTTGGAACTTTGTTTCAATTAAGAAAGTTTTATTTACTTAGAAAATATACTTTATATTTATTGTGTAATATGTATATGGGGTAGAAGGTGTCACAGTAGTACTTGACCTTTGAGTTGATAAGTGCTACATATATTTTATCCTTGATTTGGCACTCTTTTTGGGAGATATGTAAGTAATTTTTGTTGTATTTGACCCCTAAATAGATAAATTAAGATTAATCTAAGGAGTTACAAGAGTGTAGTTTCTTTGATTGAAAATATTTCTCTTTTGTGTAGATTTTGATGAAGTTGGAAATCCAAGGCTATAGCTCCAAAACCAAAGCTACAACCATAGAGCATGAACCAAAAAGAAGCATTTCAGAGAGTTGAAGCTTTAGCTATGATGCCATAGCTCTAGTCTTGGGAAATAGAACATTCTAGGCAGTTTAGAATTTCAGAGCTATGGCCCCTAGTCTATAGCTACAACTTTGGAGCTTTCTTTGTCTTGAAGTACTTCTAGAGCCGCAGTCACACATCCAGAGTTGTAGTCTTGGGTTAAAAATCCCAACTTTCCCCTCGACAAAACATATTTAAGGGATTAAAAGGAACGAAAGAAGGGGGATAAACGGGAACGAAAGAAAAATAGAGAAAGAAAACCCAGGAGAATAGGAGAGCGTGAAGATCATATTTGAAGATTGGATTGCTTGGGAACAAGGACACATCTTCACTCCTTCTCTTCTATTGTGTAATCTCATCTTTTTATTTGCTATGGCCCTCACCATGAGCGGCTAGTTTCTCTTGGGTTGGATTCAGTGTAACTATTAACTCTATTTCTTCTTAGATTTATATGATATTCAATTCTATTACTTGTATTTGATTCTTCTTTTAATTCTTAATCCGGTTTGATCACCCATTTTATGATATTAGGTTTTTGAATTCTGTTGGGAAACATTTTCAAAAGCCTAAACTGAATTAATCACCTAACAATCTCTTGTTCTAGGAATAGACTTGATTTTATTAGCCATTGTTGTTCAAGTTATCATTCTTAATGCAAGGTGTTAATCTTAAATCATAGAGGAATCATGTTTAGGATTAATCACCTTAGGACTCAATTTTGAAGAATCTGATTGAGTTAATTATTGAACGTGGAAGTAATAGAATTGGAATCATATTTATTTGATGAAGATTAAAGGTGTTAGAAAGTACATTTGAATCCAATCTCTTTCTCATATAAAGTTTTCTATTAAATTTATACTATTGCTTTTATTTTCTTTATTATAAATTTAAATCAACATTTCATTCATGTTCTCTGTAAACAAGAAAGGAAATTACTAGTATCACCAAATTCTCGAGGACGATATCAAATTACTACAACGAAACTTGGTCTGCTTGCCAAGAGTGAAAATTCCTCACCACAAGTCTAAGTAGCACACCTAAGCAATCAACTATTGTTGTCTCACTATAAGAAAAATGCAAATTACCGATGGATAATTTCTGACGGATACAAATAAGTTGAAAAAATTTATATTTTCAATGAAAAAAAATTGTAGGAGAAGTTATATTACCGACAAATAATTTTTTACAGATACAAAATCTATCGAAAAATTTATATTTTCGACTAATTTTACTGACAGATAATTTTTTATAAATACAAATTTATCGAAAAATTTATATTTCTGAAGGATTTTACCAGCAAAAAAAAATTCATGGAAAAGTTATATTATCAACAGAATATTTCCAACGAATTTATATTTGTCAAAAATGTAAGAATTTTTGACGAAAATTTTTGACAGATGCTTAAATGAAAATTTTCTGACGGAATGTTACTAACAGATAATGATTTGTCAAAAATTTTATGATTTCTGATAAGAGATTTTTTATGGAATATCTGTCAAAAATGGTTAATAATCTGTCAAAAATTTGATCTATAAAAAATGTTTAATATTCTGTTTGGTAATAATAAAGATGATTAAAATTGACAATCATATATTAGAAAATATCAATAAAATTTTAAATATGTCTATATATACTCTAATAAATTGTTACATAAAAAAGATTAGTAAATTATATATATATATATATATAATTTACACTCTAGCGTAGCTGACCCTTATTCTATTTTCTTTTATATATATATTATTTATCTTTGGTTAGTTCTAGATGTGACGGCCTAGGGTGGGTCGTTACATTCGTCGTTGTAGATGTGCATGTTTGCCTTCAGCAGTGGCCACTCGTACTCCTCCAGTTCGACTTCAATCAAACGGTCTAGAACTGCCATCGCTTCCTCGATCTTGCGGGCTCTGATTTTGCACTCCATGAGCGCGTGGAGCATGTCGGTGTCGTCAAGATTGGTGGTGAGGCGCTCTTCAAGAGCTCTCTCTGCTTCTAGGTCAACCTCCTCCGCGAACTCGACCTGCAGTGACAGCGAGAGCGAGGCGGCGAAGACGGGCGCATGGAAGCGCATGAAGAAGAAAGTGATGGCAGCGACGACGATGCATGAGGTTTCGACGAGGGGGGAGAAGAATGAGGTTAGGGTTTGGATAAGAGGAGACGAGGGTTTAGGGTTTGGTGGAGTGCGAAACGCATGGTCGTTTTGTGAGGCTCTGATTGAAGGTAACCTAAACGATGAAGGTGGCGGAACGGAATGGAACGATGCTGAGGGAGGGTTTGGGCTTTGTATTTGGTGAAATGAGAGTAGAGAGAATCATATACCCAAAGCGAAAATGAAACACTTCTTCACGGAGAGAGGACTCTTGCGTAGGTCAGCTTCTCAATATTACATCGGTTATTAGGTGAACCGATGTAGATTTATTTATAATTATTTAAAAAATTTCCACCACATATTCAATACTACATCGCTTTTACTAAAAACAATGTAGAACACTCAATATTTGCATCTAAATATTTGCATCAGTTTTACTAAATGTTACTCAATATTTTCTCTATGTGTATTTTTATTGTGTTGGAAGTGATCATCAGCATGAAGATGTTGGTGATGAGGTTTAAGTCTCATTGTGGGGTGTGCTTTGATAGGACATGTGACATCGGGACTTAGTTAGGATTAGCATAGAAATTTTATTATTGTTATTGTGTTTTAGAAAGACTAATATTTTATTTTGTCATCACTTTCGCATTAGACTACGATTTATGAAATATGAATGTGAACTCTCTATCTATGTGTTTTGGAACTTTGTTTCAATTAAGAAAGTTTTATTTACTTAGAAAATATACTTTATATTCATAAAAGTAACAAAAGACAAAAGAAATGAAAAACATCTCATAGTACAAGAATACAAATAAGATAGTCAAACACAAATAAGGAATACACCAAGATATAGTATACATAGATAATATCATTATCACGTTTAGTTCATTCATGGCATAATAAACAATATTAGTTAACATTATAATGCATATGCAATAAACATAGACTAAATGTTATCATGCTATAGTGTCAATAAAAACATTACATTTGTGCATTGTCGCTAGCAATAAACATAGAGTAGCTTAGGAATATATGTCAAGTCACATTCTTTACGACTTTCACTAGGAGGATATACTACCAAAGTCTAGTCGAAATAGCTAAATCGCGCAAGATACATTTCATGCACACAAGGACAAGACTAGGACTATCAAATCGAGTTCTCCCTAATGATTGATCTATAAGCTTTTATACAAAGGGGTTTTTCCTAGTAATATATTTCATATTGTACCCTTAAAACACAACTTTATGTGAATGATGCATGTCAAACAAACTCAATACAATAACATATGCATGATCTCATTTCATATATCACATATTTCTAATATCACCTCATATATCACATGTATATTCTCAAATACATCAACTAGTCATTAGTAAAAAAGTAGTATCAAGATCACAAGGGTAAAATGCAACATCCCGAACTTTTTACTAATATTATAGTTTAATTATTATTTATTTTTATATTTATTGGAATTATTTTCTTATAATTGTTTTAATTAATTAAATGGGTTTTATAAAATATTTAAAGGCTTTTAATAATTATGAGTATTTTAATTAAATAATGAATATTTATGAAAATTATTTTGCATAATATTTATTAGAGAAATATGTATTTTTATGATATTTTGTTATAATATTGAAGAAAAATGTGTTTTCATTGTAATTGTTTATATATTTTATTTTAATTATAATTGTGTTGGAAGAAATAAATTAATTTTATATATTATATATTTATTAATTATTAATTATTTTATTTTTTTTATAATTATTTGGGTTGGAAGAAATATGTTTATTTGATATTATTTATTTAAGTTTTAATATTTGAGGAAAGGAAAAACATAATCATGGTTAAAGTATTTTTACTAAAGAGTTAAGTGTGAGTTAAGTTTTTAAAAATGGGTTATAATAATTCTTTTATTTTTAGAACACTCGGAGATCTATGTCCTTCATTAAGCTTTCATCATGGGATGAGTAACATCCCTCATATTTGACATCTCAACAGCTCTACTTTATGATATTTCACACGGTAACACTTCACAGAACTTTTCGTTGGTCAGAACCCTTCGTGAGTAGTCCTTTCTGAAATGTTTGTCAGCGTTTAGGATTAATGACTAACCTCACAAATCAACACAAGACTTTTCAATGTGTTTCATTCTCATTTACACGCTTTTAGATGTTCATTCGCTTTTAAGATCAACAATTAACCCACAAACCAACAAAATACTTTTTAATGTGTTTTGTCTTCACTCGCACACTTTTTGAGAAACTTTCCAAAAAGTCACCAATCTGTAAATTATTCCAAGTCAATTACACTTAACTATGGAGTTCTTATGGGATAAGCTACCAAAAAAATATATGCATCTTGTTGATATAAGTAGTACAAATTAATTCATTTAAGTCATCCTCAATTACACAACCTCATACTTGTACAATCTCTGGATTTCTCTCATTTTAGCTTGTTCGGGTTGTTACATAGAGAGAGAAAGAGAAGAGATTCACTTCTTTCAATAACTCACGTTTTGCATCAAGTTTTAACGATTTAACTATTAAATTAAAAATTCTTAATATATAGATCAACTCTTCAAATTCTTTTAAAATTTGAAAATCATATTATAATTCATTATATAGATTCAAATCAATGTATAAAATATTTTTATAATTATCCATCAATTTGAATTAATTAAATAAAGTATCAAATAGTTTTAAAAAATTTAAAAATTAGTAAACTTAATATATGCTTTAAAAATTTTTAATTTAACAGTTGAATCATTAAATTTAATATAAAATATAAGTTATATATCAAAAGTGAAATAAGAGTAAAAAAATTACTTTTGAAGTAAGTGAATCACTTCTCTCTTTTTCACACACATATATATATATATATAATTAAAAAATTATTTAATTATTTATTTGTGATACGGTTTCTAATTCTTAATGATATTCAAAAGGGAGAAAGTTTTTTCAACATTTGTATAATAACTTACAGACTTAAACATATTTCTAATCTAATAAATTTCAATTTTTTTACGCTTAAATTAAATTTGGTATCAAAAGTTTACAATGATACATACATCTACTCAAACAACTAAATTAGACTTCTTAGTGAATGTATTTTGATTTTAATTTATACATAAAAAAGGATATTTTATTCCTATAATCAGTATTGTATTCTGTATTTATAAAATGAAAAAAAATTAATTTCTATAAAAATATATTTTTATTTTCATTTTTCTAAAATTTGAATCTTAATATTTATTTTATGGCAAATAAAAAAAAATTCATTTTAAGAATATTGAAGAATTTTTTATTGAGGTAATACATATTAATTGATGACATCAAACCATAAATACTATTAGATATCACCTAGGATGATCACTCCATATTTTGTTAAGCACATATGTAAGATTTGTCACATGGCAATAGGAATCAAATCAATAGTTTCATATTTTTTTAAGATGAAAACCAAAGAAAGATTATATAAGGACCGATACTGAACATTACTCATGTAAACCAAAAATGTGTTGAACCCTAACTTATAATATCCCCTCCCCCCCAATTTTTTTTTCTTTATCTATCTCTACTGTATAACCTAAACTTTTCTCTCTTATCTTTTTATTTCTCTTGTTTATATTTTATATTATATATAAAAGAGATATTTATTTTGATAATTGCTTTTTTACTTTTCATTTTTATATAGATTTTTTTCTCCTTATTTATATATGTTTCACTTTACTCTAAAATTGAAAAATAACTTCTTACAAAATAACTATTTTTGTTTTCAATACAGGAAAAAAAGAAATAAGATAATATAATAATTACCTACTAGTTATATAAAATAATATTATACACAATTAAAGAAATACTAGCAAAAAATTGTTTTACCCTTTTTATTATTAAATGAAATTTATTATTTATTATAAAAAAAAATACAAGTTTTGTGAGTCCTCTCTTCTATGAATTGTTATACTAAAAGATACGAGAATGATTACCTACATGTTATCTAACTCGTTCTTTTAAACACACCTCTTATTAACCATTCGAGACTGTTTAATGGTGAAAATTGAAATGTAAATTCAGACTTTCTCATTGTTATAATTTCTACTAATTAATAATAAAAAATACACTATTTTTTTATCAGCTAAAACTTATTAAAATTCTCAAAATTACGAGTTTTTTCACTCCTTATTTAATTAGCTCTTGGTTATGATTTTGTAGTTAGCAATAAGTTTTGAATAATTATAAACAGTGGCGGTCGGCTCAAATTTCATATTTAGATTAGCCCATCCCCCATTTTGGCACCATCTTCCTTTCTCCGCCTTCCTCTCATTTGTTTTGTTTTCTCTTGTTCGGACGAGAAGGAGGTGGTGCTAATGGCTGCCGTTCTAAACCTGAGTTCATACAAATGTTGTTGAAAATATGATAAGTTAAATTTATATATAAAGTTTTCGGTAAAAACTTAATAAAAACTAATTCACAGTTGAAGAAATGACCCACTAATTAGTAACAAAATGATAATTGATCTAGTTTTGGTAACATTTGTTAAGAATGAAACCTTTCAACATTATAGACACAAACCGCAATATCTTAAGAAAGTGATAGCAATTGATCTGACTTTCATAACAAATGAATCATGCGTTTACTAGTAATAGAGAACAAATAGTTACCATTTACCAATTATTCACAACATTTCACCTTAAGACCTGAAGGAAGAAAATCAAAATTGAACGATTGTGTTCATATGGCATAATAGGGATTTAAGACAGATACAATTCTTGTAACTCCAGCCCTGTCTCATTGATATAAGTATACAACTCTTATAGATATAGGAAGGACTATAAGTTTAAATCCCTGAGAAGTCCACCCGCCGTTTCAGATCATCGTCCACTCTAGTATTTCTTGTTGATTAATTGCTCTAACAAATTCTAATGAAATGATTCAAAACAAATGCAACAACCACGTCAAACAACCATTCTGTCTAGATCTTGAAGAAAACAACAACCATTAAATATTGAAACAAGAACAAAATGTTACCTATTCACAGCTTTGTCAGCCAGCAAGGCAGCAGAATGTGCAAGTTCATATACCTTGCTGAAATTATGTTGTGCAATTGCCTCTTTATCAAATATTGCATCTGACAAAACAACTGATGATGCTCCTCGCGAAATATATTCCCCAATAGCAGCTACAAGCAATTAGAGATAAAGTCATTAACTTAATCTACTAATTAAAATGCCTGGTGTCTATTGGACGTATATGGATGAGGTTGGTACTGTGCATATTTGTCAAAAGCTGTTATAGACAAATTCTTCTAAAAACTAGTTCCATAAGAAGTTTGTTAAAAGAAGTGTATGCAAAAAATATCATACAGTGCATAAGCACATTGGATAGTGATTTTTTTTTTATATATATATGCATTATAACTTAACAAGAAACTTCACCACTAGTAAGTTATAAACTATATGTTTGGCAAAAGAAAACAATGGAGAGTTAAGTGAAGTAGTTAATATCACTCAATATATAATCCACCACACCAGGAAAACTGTAAAACTACCTATTGTTATTCCCTGAGAAGCAACCATAGAGACATGAGGAAAAGACTTCTTCAGTGCTGATATGTACTGAAATCCTCCGAGTGCAGAAACTGGATAAATCTATCATACAAGTTAAAAGCCAAGTATAAGAAATTCTCTTAAAATATAAAATGTGTTTGATGCTAGTCTATGAATGTGACCCTTATCTTGACCATTGGATCACTCATAATGTGACCTTTGAATAACTCAGTAATTTCTAATCCTGACCTTTAATGTGTACATACATATTAGTGTCTGATTCAATATATGACTGCAAAGTCTGCAACTGAAGTGGATAATAAAAACTATGAAGACAGAGAAGTCTAGATTTCAATCCATTTACAACTTCAGTAATAATTGCAGTGGATGACAATTTAATGCATTGCTCCAACAGTCAAAGGAGAAAAGGAGCTAGATGTAGCAAGAATATCAATATCTCAAGGCCTTTGTTAGGATGGAGGGTTGGACTATGATAAGGCAGAAAATTCATCCCAAGCAAGCAAGTAAATGCTTCCTCCGAATAAAACACCCGAAGAACCTAAACTTAGTAGAAGAATCATAAATATGTAAGTGAAGTGGGAATTTAACCTGAGTTGGAATCTTTATGATGTGAATTAGAACCCTAGAAAGGAAAAAATAAATTGAGCATGGGTCGACAGCTCTAAATATAAAGATTAAATAACCCTTCAGATCCTTTTTTCCAACACCTGTTGATTATCTTTCCACAGGTTTGGTTCTGTCTTTTTCTCGTTCATTTTATTTCTCTCCTTTGCTGGCTATTGAGTTAATATCAAATCAAGAATTATATATCTATAGTATATTTGAGAAGAAATACTTGAGACAAGCTTAAAAACATGGGAAAGATTTTTGTTTAAAAAATAAATAAGTTGCCTGCTGACTGGTATATGCACGCAACCTGGGACATATTGTTCCAAATGTAGCAGATAGAAGAATGAAATTTTGAAGAAATGGGAAAATGACAGGCCGAAAAAAATCAAGAGTCTTCACTCATCTCTGCAGAAGGTGTCGTCATGCATATCTATCAAATGCATGTATATTATCCACATTTCGATACTCTTCAACACAGTAAACATTAAATAACACGGAAAGGCCTACCTTGACCATTTTAGCACCTGCATCACATGCAGACAATATCTGCATTGCAAAAAATGATCATTAAGGAGATGTCAATGTATTCTAGGAAAAAATGCAAAAGGTAGAATATTAATGAAATAAGGAATAAGGATACACAAATGAATCATGAGATCTGTAGAAGGCTTGAATCTAAAAGTTGGCACTTACTTCGGTTGGAGTCATTGTGCCAGGAATATATAAAATTTCACCACTTTGTACGTCATCCATTTCCATTATGTCCTGATAACCAATAAACAATTTTAAAGAAAAATGCACACTGGTTAGACATCCGAGTATGTCCACAAATAGTGAACTACCCAAAGAAAATCTGACAGTCAATAATCTCCCAAGCTAATTCAAACAAGAGTAATAATAAGAAAAAGAAGAAAAACAAAATAATACTAATAAACATTTTAGCACAAGCACAAATTATGTGACACATTAGTAATTTATTATATATAAATAAAATTGCAAACCTTAACAGTTGCAGGACTCATTAGAAATTTGGCTCCAGCATTAATTGCAGATTTTGCATCCTCAATCCTGAGAACAGTTCCAACCTAAGGGCAATATCTGTTAAGTTCAGACAACCGTTGAAAAGAAATGTGATTTCATGAAATAATATTGTAAATGATAAGATTCTTGATCATCAATATGTTAAAACAAATCATCAGAATTCAATAGGATTCCTTCACGAGCTAGTAATATCCTGCAATTAAAAAAAAAACTCCCATCTTATAATAATTTCTGTGTACAGTTAAAATTTGCAAGAGAAATCAATTTATTACAGTCTTCTAGACGATATTGAAACAGAAGAAAGTTTGAAACTTCAGGTAAATTTTGGTGATATTACTTAGAAAAAGTATTAGAAGCTAGGTAGGACACTCCTCTTAACTGATGATGGGGAAATCATGGAGATGTACTTGTCCACAGGCATAACGCATCCAACACTAGAACTATTTCAAATGCCTCAGCTTTAAATTTCCCCCAAAATTTCTACAAGATATTGTGGTCTTGTTAGATATAATCCAAAGGATAAATCACTTTTCTGTGTTTGATAACCATGCAAAATTCACAGAAAGAAAAAAATCCAAGAGTCAAGAGTGAGGATTAGTGGTTCTTGATGATAATCATCATATGTGTCAATCAGCATGTCCATTAGGTGATTCTATACATCAACACAATCTTAAAACTCAATGAACTGGGAGAATGCAATGATATGTTCTTCTGATTCATTGACTTCGGGCAGGTTCACATGGCATACACCCTAACAAAGAACATTGATGCCATGTGAGAAACTAGATAGAAACTTAGAGAATGAAAGGATACCCCTAGGGCCATTGTAGGATGCTCCTTCACCAGCTGCTGTAGAACCTACACAGACCAGAAGCGTATGAATTAGAAATCTAAGAACAAGACAAGTGACGTAGAAAAATTTAGGTAAACAACCTCGAACACACCTGGGGTAGACGCCACAATCTCCAACTACATGTAAAAATAAAAAGAAAATAGATGATGAGAAACACACCACTAAATTATATAGTCAAGTAAATTATTTTCCAAACAGATATATCTATCTTTGTCCATTGCTCCACAAACTGAAGACCTGGCTGTTTCCACTCATAAAACTTCTCAACTTTCCCAAGTTTCATATAATCTTGGGCAATTTAGGTTGAACAAAAGACTCAAAAGTAATTCATATCTTCTCAAATGCCACAAGGCTGAGTAATTCTACATCTAGATGGCCCAAAAGCATTTAAACTGATTCAACTATTTGGTTAAATTTTAAAACTTGACAAATCAGATTCATGTAAATGTCCTCTGATTTTTTTATTAAAAATAAATTTATAAAACAAAAATAAAAGAACATCAAAAGTACACTCACAACTGAAACGCCCCCTGCTATTGCCGCATTTGCAGCTTCCATGGCCACTTCTGCACTATACATAAGTGAAAAATAAAAAGTAAGCCAGCATAAATAGGCTTCAAAAGACAGTATTGACTATGGTAGTGCCTTTGTGAGAATTAGCCTGTACTAGCATATAAAATTGAATTAGCCTGTACTAAACTTAATACATTGAGTAAACTTAACCCTGCTCAGCAAAAAAGAGGACAGAAAAACAAATATAAAAAAATCACATCCTCTACATAATCTTCTCCGAAACAAATCTAGAAAAGATAAATAAAAATAAAATAAAAATAAAATTTTTATAAACTAAAATTAGTTCATACATAAATTAATAATGATATTTTTGACAATCTGATAAGACAGAATTTTTACAAATTAAATTATGCATAAACTAATTTAGTTTTCTAGAAAGGCTTATTTCATCTTTTCCACCCTATTTTACTTTTCTAGAATATTTTTGAAGAAAGCCAATGAGAAACTACAAAGACGGGAAAATAAAAAACAAATTTGATTATAAGAATTAAAAAAAAAAAAAAAAAAAAACTTGCGCACTTTTTTTTTTGTTGTTGTTAAAACTTAAAGCTGCTTCATATGAAAAGAGAGAGAGAGAAGAAAGAAGGACCTGTTAGCTCTGAGGCAAGCTATGACACCATAATTCTTGATTTGGCAAAGGGTTTTGTCAACTGCTGAAGCTGAAAGGTTATGGGCTCTACATGAAAACCTGACCTGCATGGGTAGAGAAGAAGAAGAAGAAGAAGAAGATGAAGGCCATTGACAGTGACACAGTGCCAAGTTTGCAGTTGCAGTGGCCATTGTAGTTGTACCCTTCTGTTACCGTTTCTTCTGGTTTTGTACTCAGAAGATACTAATAGAACAAGGGTGTAGTGTTTTTTTTTTTTTTTTTTTGAGAGATAAATCAATGGCTTATCCGTTGAAATTTGCAAGGTCTCACCAGTGTTGGGACTTGGGATCAATCAAGCAAAGCAAATTTTCACAGTAAAAGATAAAATTTTATATAATTAAAGTTTATAATAAATTAATTATTTTAAATATAAATTATATTATAATTCAAATAATAATAAATAAATATCACATATAGTAATATTAAAATATAAACTAATTATATTTATAACAAATTTATATTATTGATGGAATAAATAGTAAATATTTCTCTTTTAAAAATTAGTTGTTTAAAATGTTTTACCTGTTTAATATTATTCAATTATTTATAATAAAAAATATTTACTTAATTTTAAAGATTATTTCGAATAAAACAAATATTTTATTTATATGGATATTCTAATAATTTTTAAGTATTAAACTTTAAAAATTATTTTTTTATCAATTAAAAACTTACCATTTTACATAAATATTTTGAATTATAATAATTTTTTTATAAAATGTTTATAAATGAAAAAGATGGATAAATTATAAAGTAAATGATAATCAAATAAAGTGTTTTCTTAAATTAATAGATACTAAAAATAATATTATTATAATAATTGATTTATAGAGTTTCTACTTGATTCACACTCGACGTCACAATACTAGCATCTAGTGTTGTCTAGACAAAGAGCTATTACCTTAATCATGTATAATGTTACTTAATTAGGATCTAACATCACCAAGTTAGAGATTTCCAAAGAGATTTACGTTTGACACCCTTCAACTCACATCTAATATGATCAAGTTAGATAGTTCTCTTCTAATTCATGTCAAATGCTATCAACACTATGTTTGACGTTAGTGAGAGAAAAAACCTTTAATCTGTTACACGCTTAGTGCCATAAAATCGCGCTTAACACGATGATGATTTTTGCACTTAGTTGAATCATGATTTTAACACAAAACCTAAAATTTAGCAACCAAAACAACATGTGACTACTAACAACACATATATACATTTTAAACAAGTCAATTTTAGGCTCAAAATATGCATGCAACCATTCATCATTCAATATTCTCCCAACATATTTCAAGAACAACTCAAAAAATCAAAACAAGTAATCTTCATTCTTGATTTCCAACTCAAAATATCTAAAGTATTGTTTTAGCCTGAATTAGTGTAATCTTTGTCTAGTGAAAAATAAGATGTTGGCATATATTTTATCGATTTACATTAGTAGTATAATATATTAATTTTGATAATTTTGTTAGTATAGAAATTAATATATTTTAATTAGAATTATTAATTATTGATAATGTAAAAAAAATTTACACCATTATCATATATATATATATATTTATATATATATATATATATATATATATAAACTACAAATATTTTTCAAGAATCAAATTTAAAATCATTTATAAAGTTGAAACAACTGCATGCTAGCCGATTCACATTTTTATGGATCCATAATCTTCCAATCATGAATTATATGGTAGTAATGTTTATTTTTATAATATTACTTTAACAAGTTATAGAATCATTTATAATTTATTAGAGGTGTAGAAAAATTATTAATTAAATTAAAGTTCTTAGAATAGTAGATTCAAGTCTAACTCAACCTTACAAAACTGACTTGTAAGGTGAGGGTTGTTTTCCACTTATATACTATTTAATTGCCTAATCTTTAATCGATGTAGAATTTGAGTTTTTCCCAATACACCTCCTCACGTCCAGCACTATTGGATTTGGTACATGGATAAATGGTAGGTGACCCTTTTTAAATGATCTAGGATTCGCGGGACTTGAATACACTCCCTCATGTCTAGGGTGCACCCCCTTCACGTCCAACACTATTGGGCTTAGTACGTGGATAAATGGTAGGTGACCCTTTTTTAATGATTTAGGATTAGCGAGACTTGAATAGACTCCCTCATGCCCAGGATGCACTCCCCTCACGTCCAGTACTATTGGACTTGGTACGTGAATAAATGATAGGTGACCCTTTTTTAATGATCTAGGATTGGCGGGACTTGAATACACCCCCTCATGCCCAAGGTACATGTATCAATGGTAAGTGACCCATTTTTAAGAATCTAAGATAGCTCTGCTAGCATCTTAGAATAGTAAATTTAAGTCTAACTCAACCCTAAAAAATTGGCTTGTAAGGTAAGGGTTGCTTTCTACTTATATATTATTTAATTGCTTAATCTCTAGTCGATGTAAGACTTAAGTTTTTTTCAATAAAAGTCAAACATTATATATTAAATTAAAGGAAGCAGTCAAGCCAAAAAAAAAATCTCTTAAAACAAAAAAAAAGTTCATTAACTTATTATTTATCCTTTGTAAATATTAACATCAAAAAACAATTTATTCGATAACTTATCAATTACAGTATAATATTTCCATGATCCTCGTTTACATTATTTGATTTATTTTCATATCCTCATCGTTTTCACTTCCAACAGTCGTATCATAAAACACGACGAATATAATAAAATCCTAAAAAAAATTATAAGATCTAATTGCAAAACAGTTTACACAACTAATAATATAATTTTGTGATAAAGTTTTGAAGTAAAAAAATAACAATATCAATGACAATAACGATAAATTATCTATGAAGTAAAAAAAATAATTAAAATTTATCCATAATTACATACCAATTAATGTTGTAATTAAAAAATTTTAATTTTAATTTTGTACGTCAAAGTAAAAAATTAATATTTTATTAAGATTTTTTTTACAGCTATATTATATTAGGATATTTGGATTTGTTACTCGGGATTTGTTTGATAAAGTATAATTAAATGAATATTAAATATAATAAGTTTTGAAATCTGAAATAGAATTTAAAAAGAAGAAGAATTTGACTAAATTAAATGAAATAAAGTGTAATATTCTTATTTTGAGAGGAGTTAAAATTTATTATCATCAATATGGTTGACATTCTTAATTAAAATGAAAATCTCAAGTATTAAAAACTTCAAATAATAAATAAATGACACAATTTTTTTATTATAAGATATTTTTAACTAAAACTAATATAAGTACTTATGTAAATTGATTTTTTTAATTTTTAAAATAAATCATGATTTATCAATTTTATTTTTTTTACTTATATTTAAATTTTTATGAAAGGTTAAAAATATTACTGCATATCAAGCTTATACACTAATATTAACATAAATGATAAATATCAATGAAAGAAAGTTTATAAAGAGAGAGAAAAATACATATTTTTATGATTTCTAATAAAAAGGATAAAAAAATTTAGTACTGCATATAATAACGTCTGATATTGCACAAATGCAAGTTTTCTGGAAATAAAATGTCGAAAATTATGTGTTAAGTACCTTTTATTCATGAATTACATTCAACTTTTGGCACTCTTTTTGGAAAAATTGTATATATATATATGGGAAATCATCATTAATTTTCTACTACTCTTCTATCTTTTAATATAAACTTAATTCTTTCTAATTAGAAGTAAATTATCATATATATATATATGATAATTTACTTCTAATTAGAAAGAATTAAGTTTATATTAAAAGATAGAAGAGTAGTAGAAAATTAATGATGATTTCCCTCCTTTTTTTTGCAGAAAATTCAAGAAGACAAAATTCCACAGCCACAGTTGTGGTTCTGGAGCTATAGTTGTGAAAATCTGGAGAGAAATCAGAAGGTTAGAAAGTTGCAGCTATAGCTGTGGTTCTGCAACTATAGCTGTAGAAATCTGGAATGTAAATTTAAAGGTCCAAAGACTTGAAGCTAAAGTTGTAGGATCACAGCTTGAGCCATGAAACACTGATGATTGAGAGAGAGAACTAGAGAGTCATAGTCATAGCTGTGAAATTCATATAGCTACAGCGTTGGAGGTTCCTTAAGCTTGAAGGAGTTTCTACAGTTATGACTGTGAAACCACAGTTGCAGCTGTGAAACTTACTTCACCTTGAAGAACTCTCCACAGCCATAGTTGTGATTCTACAGCTGCAGCAGTGGGCTTGAAAGTTGTAATTTCTCCCCTGTTTTGAAGCTAATATAAAAGGGGAATAGAAGAACTGAAAGGAGGATCAGAAAACAGACAGAAAAAACAGAGCAAAAAACAAGATCGAGAGCACAAGAGGAAGAAAGAACAAAGTGAGAACGAAGATTTAGAGGCTGGATCACTTGGGAACAAGGATCATCCCCTTTTCTTCATCTCTTCCTTTCACTACTAGAAAGTTACTGTTCAACATCGTCAATTCTACATCGATTTAGGTAGAACCAATGTAAAAATTGGTTGCGGTGGCATATTCGTAAATATGAGTTGAATGTAAAGCAAATTTACATTGGTTATGTACAAAACTGATGTAATTATTGAACATTTTACATCATTTTTAATTGGACCGATATAGATTTAAATGCGCGGTGGTAATTTTGTAAATATTTACAAGTAGATCTACATCGATTTTCAAAATAACTGATGTAGTCGCGCAAGCTAGCATCTTGTTCAACACGTACAGAGTGTGCGTTGCAATGGAGGTCGTGGTGGAGGGGCTATGGCGACTCTCAGAATACCACAAGAAGCGAGGCGAAATAGGGAAGGTCGTGAAGTGCCTCGAAGCCATATGCCAGAGCGAGGTCTCCTTCTTCCCAATCGTCGAGGTCAAGACTCGCCTCCGCGTCGCCACTCTCCTCCTCCACCATTCTCACAACGTCAACCACGCCAAGTCCCACCTCGAACGTTCCGTTAGTCCTCTCCTTCATTCTCTATTTCCACCGCTTTAAATTTAAATTCAAATTCAAATTCAAATTTCATTGTCTTTATTTCTTTCTTTCCCTTTCAGCAATTGCTTCTCAAGTCCATTCCTTCTTGCTTCGAATTGAAGTGCCGAGCCTACAGCTTGCCCAGCCAGTGCTACCATCTCGTCGGAGCTATTGCGCCACAGAAACAGGTCCTGTACAAGGGCCTCGAGCTCACTGCATCCGCTGGATACGAGTATGTATTGGTTTCGCTTTCTGTTGTTTATATCTTCCTTTGAAGTTTTAATTTTAGGTTTTGGTTTAGCTACTCCGAAAATAAGGAAGAAATTGCACTTTAGAGAGTAAAATTAAAATGCACTTGTCGCTTCGAAGTTTGTTGTTGTCCCTGTAGTTGCAGCTTGAAATTCAATGGTTATTGTCTCTGCACTTTATCCTCTAATGTTATGCTTCACCATTTGGACAACAATCTCTTGTTCTAGGAATAGACTTGATTTTATTAGCCATTGTTGTTCAAGTTATCATTCTTAATGCAAGGTGTTAATCTTAAATCATAGAGGAATCATGTTTAGGATTAATCACCTTAGGACTCAATTTTGAAGAATCTGATTGAGTTAATTATTGAACGTGGAAGTAATAGAATTGGAATCATATTTATTTGATGAAGATTAAAGGTGTTAGAAAGTACATTTGAATCCAATCTCTTTCTCATATAAAGTTTTCTATTAAATTTATACTATTGCTTTTATTTTCTTTATTATAAATTTAAATCAACATTTCATTCATGTTCTCTGTAAACAAGAAAGGAAATTACTAGTATCACCAAATTCTCGAGGACGATATCAAATTACTACAACGAAACTTGGTCTGCTTGCCAAGAGTGAAAATTCCTCACCACAAGTCTAAGTAGCACACCTAAGCAATCAACTATTGTTGTCTCACTATAAGAAAAATGCAAATTACCGATGGATAATTTCTGACGGATACAAATAAGTTGAAAAAATTTATATTTTCAATGAAAAAAAATTGTAGGAGAAGTTATATTACCGACAAATAATTTTTTACAGATACAAAATCTATCGAAAAATTTATATTTTCGACTAATTTTACTGACAGATAATTTTTTATAAATACAAATTTATCGAAAAATTTATATTTCTGAAGGATTTTACCAGCAAAAAAAAATTCATGGAAAAGTTATATTATCAACAGAATATTTCCAACGAATTTATATTTGTCAAAAATGTAAGAATTTTTGACGAAAATTTTTGACAGATGCTTAAATGAAAATTTTCTGACGGAATGTTACTAACAGATAATGATTTGTCAAAAATTTTATGATTTCTGATAAGAGATTTTTTATGGAATATCTGTCAAAAATGGTTAATAATCTGTCAAAAATTTGATCTATAAAAAATGTTTAATATTCTGTTTGGTAATAATAAAGATGATTAAAATTGACAATCATATATTAGAAAATATCAATAAAATTTTAAATATGTCTATATATACTCTAATAAATTGTTACATAAAAAAGATTAGTAAATTATATATATATATATATATATA